AAGCATAAAAAAAAATATATATATTATATGTGTGTGTATGTGACTTCATTGAAAGATGAAACTCGTAACCTACTACGGTATGATTGTGGCAATGAGTGAAGCCATAGGTCGTAGTGTCCGCACAGCTCGCTCTTACTTTTTAGGCAAAGCTGGTATCCTTAGATGGCGGGTGTTAAAGCCAACACTGTTAATTGGAACCCAGTCCGTTTCAATGACAGCTTATGACCTGTAACCACTAATCCACCGTGTCTCTTTCTCGTGTTTCAAATAACCTTATTTATAATAATATGCATGCGATTAATGCTATTTTTTAAGGAATTTTATCATATTCGTTTGTTTATATCCATATTATAACTCTACATTTTTAATGCTTCTACAGGAAATCTGTCAGTATCTCTTCATCCATCGCAGATTACAACTGAATCAGGTAGATCCGCAACATTAAATTGCAGTGTTCAAGGATATCCCGTCCACTCAATCACTTGGCTTAAAGATGCCCGTCACTTAATTACAAGCAACAGGGTTCGATTGATTGCCAATCAAGTTCTACACATTACATCAGTTCAAAGAGAAGATCAAGGAATGTATCAGTGTTTTGTGTATGGTAGTCAACAATCGATTCAGAGTGGAGCGCAACTGATTTTATCAGGCAAGTCAGTTTACATGCATCAACTTTTAATGGAATTCTTTGAATCAAAGTTTTCTTTTGAGATACATTTTAAATTATATAACCTTTAACTTTTTTCAAAACTCATCTCCTTTTTTTAAAGTTTTATGGAAGCTATTGCGTATTAAGTAATGTGTTGAAATTCCTGTAGTACTTACAAGTACATTTTCGGAAATTCTTCCAGAAATGACAGAAGCTATGTCCATTTAACTTTAATATCATATAAGAGAACAGAAAATTGATAACTATTACAAACAAAGAGCACGTAAAGTCTTCTTTACATATATTCCCCTGATTGTCCTCCTTTCAAAAAAATCTGTTCACCATTGAACCTTAATAACATCCAAATAAACTGCACCCACACAAAAGCTTTAATTTAATGGTGGTACTGTTCTATTTGATCCATAATTCCGATTTCTCAGAAGTCAATACTTTGTTTGATAATACCCTATTGATACAGATGCAGAATCCTACTTTATTGCAACACTTCAAAAGCTTCAAACATTAAACTGAGGAGCTAATTAAACTCAAAAACGAAAAGGAATAATTTTGAAAAAGAAATACCGAAAATATTTATTTTGAAATCACCTTGAGCTACGGATCAAAAACTTCAGCTATTTTTTTTTTTAATTTTTAAGTATAATAAATGATTATCTTAATAAAAAATTGAGACGCAATAAATAATAAGCTTATTTTAAATATGAAAAATAAAAACTGAATATGTGTACTTTATCGAATTTATTTTACCCGGAAAAGTTGTACGTATTTTTTTCTCCTAAATATCCAACCATAGATTATTTTATGAAAATTCATTTGCATTTGAAATAAGATTTTTTTTAATGTTTTGCAGACATAACCCAATTACTTTGATAAAGTTAAATTTTGAAAAACAATCTGAGGTTATAATCTCATCTAATTAGAGTACTAAAAAACCTTGGATTAGAAACTTATATAAAATAACAAAGAGGATAAAATTACAAAAGATTTCGATTTTTATGAGAAAAAATAATGAGCAATCTATTTTACTAAAGTTTTAAAAAAATTATTAAACTCCTGATAACTTCCATTTGTTATCTTTCATTTTAATGGCAGGGCTTTAATCCTCAGTTAAGTGGGGTGGGTTTTAATTCAGGCCACGAACCGTTGCTAATTGGAGGTGTCACCTCCTTAATTAGATATCTAAAGTTTGTTTTTTAGGAGGGTGGTTATTTTCTCTTCTTAAAAGATGAAAAAAAATCCAACGTTTGAGAAGACGAGAATCGCTCTAATTGCGCCCTTTTATAAGATTTTAGTTGTTTTCCTGTCTTTCCAATTAAAAGGACGAGGCGAAGTTCTCGCCAGGTCTTGGCGAATAAAATCCAACAAAGAAAGGATTAGTTGCGTTATCTTAAAATTTAAAATCATTAAACAGCCAATAAGTACATCATGCATGTTAAAGATTTGTTGAAGCATTTTAGAATCTTAGCTTATTCTATAAATTGGAATTAAGTCAGGTTATATGTGTTTTCAACAAGCAAGATAAAGACTCCTTTTATTTCTTTCTCGGAAAAGAACATGTCTTTCTTTTTTCTTATACGACTTTACTTGCATCTTCAAAACTATGAAATAAAATTTTTTTCTCCAGATTTGCTGTACAAATACTTATTGCAAATAGTTGTATGCAGGGAAGAGTTTGCTTTCCAAATATCATAAAAAAAACCTTTTTTTAAATGTAATTAGTTTTATTGTGCAAGAACAAAAAAAATTTCTACCAAGAAGTCCACATCCCACTCGCTGTGATCGCCAACCTCTGAACAGCTATTTCAGTTGCAATTGCTTCGGTGGCTTATTGAATGTTTCTATATATTAGTCTAAAACGGGATTACTGAAGAAAAAAATTTCAAAATTGAGCAAAATATGTTGATTTAGCGAGAAAAAAGTAAAAATAGAATTTAAAAAACCCTTGTGTTCAAATTGGAGCAGCATATACTCATTTGTTTTGCTAAATATAAGTGGAAAGAGAAATGCCTGAGTGATACATCCATTAGATGCCACCAGGATTCGGACCAAGGACCTACGGATTCTTGATACGATGTTCTAACCAACATAGTTGCACAACCCAGCCAAGGGAGAGCTTGGAAATTTTATATAATGGCAACCACTATAACACATCATAACATACTAATTTTTGATTTCAATGGTACAAAGGGTAGAATTATGGAAAATACAATCCTAATTGCTAAGTCAGGAGATTGGTAATTTTAATTTCATTTTTTTGCCTATTTTTTTCTTGCTATATCTTAAAAACTTTAAATCGAATATAATGCATGCTATCATGTGTTATTGTGGTGGTCACTATATAAAGTTTGTTAACTCTACCTGGACTGAAGTGTACAACTATGATGATTGGTGCATCGCACTAAGAACCTGGAGATCCTTGGTTTGAATCCTGTATGCAGTCATATATTACTGGCAACTTTGATTACATAAAGATTTCAAATTCAAAGATTGCTTGTTTGAGAGCAATTTAGCGCATTTTTGTTCAATTTTGAGAAACACCTTCTACAATATATGCATGCTGATACTTTTTCTTAAAGAAAGTTTCGTATAATATTTGTATATAATCCTGTTAAACCTTAGGTTTAAAAATATTTCATAAATTTCGTATACATTACAATTTTATAACAACAGAACTATAATTTTGCGTGTTTGGTGACTTTACATATTCTTCATACGTGCATAAATTAATATCAATTCCATTCTTACAAAAATCCCTTAAAGTAAATGCAAATCGAAATTGAATGTTTAAGCATAAAAAAAATCATAGCTGGCCAATTTTCGTTGATAAATAGCATCTTTCTCACACGTTAGTTATGCATCATTATATTCCTAAATTATGATTGAACCTGTGAAACAAAGAAATATAATTAAAGAAACTTGAAAGTTTCAGATTAAAAGTCAATTTATCAAGTATTAAAATAAAGTTGCCAAGTATTGTGTATGCAAGCAAGTCAATTTTATAAATGAACATTTCTAAATTATTATTAAAACTGAGTAAATTCCTGTGTATAATCAAAGCAAAATTTGTATTTCAATATTTTTGTTTAAAGTTGATTATGGCGTAATAAATATTGTTTCTATTTTCATGCTTATAAATGATCGCTCGCATAATTTTTCCATCTGATACTTTTCTTAAAATGGAGTGCTAAAAATTAAGTGTGATTACAAAAATTGTTCACTTTTAACATTACATTTCTTCCCAACTTGTAAATCAGCATGTTTAAGCATTTTTTGTCCCGCGAGGTGAAAAATATTTTCTTTAGAAATTTTTAAATATGTAATTTTAGTGTTCATGGCTTATGACTGCTTGCAGTCACTTAAATAAGTAAATATAAAAAAATTATTTTCAAGAAATCTTTCAGAACTGTAGAGAGTCATGGCAAATTACAACTTCATAAATACATAACTATAAGTTTCCGTGTTTGATGACTTAACTTAATACTTACCTAAACTCATAAATCGAAATGAAATGTTAACATAAGCTTTTATTAAGGCTTTATTAAAAAGTTAATCACTTGCATAGCATAGAAGTATTTTGGCAACAAAAAAAGAGAAAACAATCAACAATCAACATGTACATATATAGAGATAAGGTTTTATTAGTTCATCATAGTGCATTCATATGTCTGCCTTTTCATTAATACGGCATTTTCTTCATTTGCTCGTAGACTGATTCGCCTAGTCAATGGCTCGCCCTTTCACTGATACATTGGAATCCACAATTCACTAGATTCAGTAATCTAAACCGTTTCTTCCTTCTCTTTTATTCTTCTAATATTTACTAGCTAAGTGAATAGTAACTAGTAATAACGGCAATTACAGAAGCATGAGGCTATAAAAGTAAAACCTAAAAAATAAGAACATATTAAATGAACAAGAGTATGCTCGTTTAAAAAAATCTAAAAGCATGACAGTATATAATAAATATTAACAAAGAAACAGAACACTAATATTCATAAAGGCAGAAAATTTACTATTATTACATAGAATTATTATTAGGTATAACATTTACTACAAGGAAATAATAAATTATTTGCGCTTTAAAATATCTTATTTATAATTAAGATAAACTCTCCTCAAGTTAAGAAACGTTTACCAAAAGATAAATATGTATGATATAGAATTTACTATTATTACATAGAATTATTTTTACATATAATATACCTATGCTACTGGGAAATAATAAATTATTTCTGTTATAAAATGTCTTATTTGTAATCAAGATCCACTCTCCTCAAGCGAAGAAATATTTTTAGACTGATAAAAAGCATCAATATTTAAATAATACTTAAAACGAGTTGTTATCTCCATTAATTTCTAAATTAAATATAATAAGCAGTAAGCAGTTGAACAGTTTTAAGTATTAAAATACATAGGTAACAAATTTTATTTTATCAATTCTTGAAGTTTAAACTTTACTTGTGTTCACACTTGGCTAGGAAATAAGCTCTTTTTTTTATCTAAATTTTAAAAGTTTCTTCGACGCTGGTTAGGTCATGGGAAAGTCGTAGCAAATTATTTTTTATAGTCAGAAATTTGATATAACTAAATAAATTCTGAAGATCCTCATTTATATATATCTATTCATAGTTTATTATCATTGTTATTATTTATATTCGTTATTTATTTTTAAATATATTTTATTCGAAAATATAACAAATCAACAAATATTAATTGATAAATAAGGATAAATATTAATTATTTCAATGTTTTGTTCCCTTTTATTTTAAAAATTTGACGACATAATTGGAAAATGCTACAATACAATTTTGCAATTTGTAGGCTTGCATTGTAGAAAATCGGGATCAAATTATGGTATGAAGTACTGGTACTTAAGGTGCCTCATCCGTAAAATTCAGTTTTACCGTAAAATATAATACCGTAGTTTTTACTAAAATATTTATTTATTTAGAGTGACTTAAAGATTTTACGGAAATAATTACTGAAAAACTTGCGGTATATCAGGTGTTTGTCCCGTAACATGCTCCGGTAAAAATGGATTTACCAGTAAAAATCATCCTGCTTGCCGGAAAATTTTACCTTAGTTTGATCTGGATTTTTTATTAGATTATTCACTATTCAGTTTATATTTTTATTTAAAAATTTGCTTAATTTTTTTTTAATAATTTGCAATATATATCTCAATATACTAAAATATCCCTACGTATTAAATTATTAAAAAAAATCAGCTTT